TGGCCTGTGGAGGTTCTCGAAATGTCCTCTGCTGAAGAAAAGGTGGTGGTTATGCTCCTGTGGTGGTGGTTGTGCTTATTGTCCTCTCCTGCATCTGGAAAAATCTTCCGAGAGAGAAGAGAAAGGTTAGAGGAGAATCTCAGTCTTTTCTGTTACTGTAACCAAATGCCATGGACTGGGTGATTTATGGAGAATGGAAGTTTATCTTGCTCTGGGTTCTGGACACTGGGAGTCTGAGTATAATGCTGGGCCCTTCCTGCTGCCCTGGTGGAGGCCACTACATGGTGAGAGGGAGCAAGTGTGCCTGCTCAGGTCTTTTTCTTTTTCTCTTATAAGGCCGCTAATGCCTCGATGGTGGGGCCCACCCTCAAGAGCTCTTTTAACCCTAGTGACCTCCCAAGTACCTCACCTCCAGATACCATCAAAGTGTGAATTTCAGAACTATGTTTCCAACAATGAACTTTCTGGGGGCACTGGCCTCAACTGCAAGCCTATGTGCAGCCACACTAGGTGCATTACATATACTGTGGTTCAGTTCTCTCACTGTTCCAGGCAAGAACTGGCAGCCCTTGTTTTATTGGTGACAAAGCACAGAGAGACCAAGGTCACCCAAGGTCACCCAGCTGCTGAGGAGCCTAGACATCAGCCCCTCATCTTGGGCAGTGTTGTCCTGTGCGTCTCTAGCCCCAGCTCTCTGGGAGGGATCTAGGCCTGATCCTTTCTGGGGTCTCTGTGCAGATAGGAGGCTTGGTGGAGCTGCCCTGCCAGCCCTCCAAAGCATAAAACCTTCTGAAGTAGGGCCACGGAAGTCTGGGGAGATGGAGAGCTGAGCCCTGGGGGTGGAAGCACTCCATGGGCCCATAACGCTGTGCAGAAATAGGTGTGCTTTTTTCTAAGGAGAACTCCATAAATACTCATCATTAAAGTAGAAAAGACTTGAGCTCAACCTGCTTATACCCGCTCAAAGAGGAAAAAAAACCAGGTATAGTGTTGCACACCTGCCCTCCCAGCACTCTGAGAGGCTGAGGCAGGAGGATCACAAGTTCAAGCCCAGCCTGGAAGACTTAGCAACTTAGTGAGACCCTGTCTTAAGATAAAAAATAGAAAAGGCTGGAGTTGTAGCTCAGTGCAAGGGCCCTGGGCTCAATCCTCAGTACCTCTAAACAAAACCAAACCAAAAATGGGAGGAGGATTAGGCACCCTGACTCCATGGGAGGAGAGAGAGACCTGAAATGACCAGAAAGTGGCCGTCACACTGCTCACCAGGCCCTAATCAATAATCTCTCCTGAATGGCAACCAAGTAGGGGCTTCCTGGAAGACTGGGTAAAGAGGGACAACTTTGAGACTTAGGCTTGTCACTGGCCAAGTTGAGGTGGGGCGCTGGGGCACTTCAGGGTGTGTCTGTGTGAGGCCTGGTGCGGTGTGAGTATGTGTGACCGGATGTCGGGCAAGATGGGGTGGCCGGTGTGAGATGGGGGAGCACGGGGGTCGGCTCGGGGACTCTGGCGTGCAGCCTGGTCTCTGTGTACGCCATGAGGGTGTGCGCAGTCGCACAGCCCAGAGAGCAGCCGCCCCCGCGTGGGTGGGAGATCTTATCGCCTAGGTGCTGGAGGAGTTTCGGGCTTTCTCACCGGCCTCGCTCCCCACCTCTCAGCGCCCCGTCCCTCCATGCTCTGTACAGGAAGTGGGCCGGCCCTGGTTTCAGTCTTTGCCTGGGCCACAGTTGTCTCTCAGCTACCTGGGCTGCGGGAGCCCAGGACCTCGGAGATGGCCAAGGTCCCAGCAGCAGGGAGAGCGCAGCTACAGCCTCATGTCTCAGCCAGGTGATGTCACTGCCCTGCCTTGTCCTGCCCTGCCCTGCCCTGCCCTGCCCTGCCCTGCCCTGTGCTCTGGGAGTGATGGGGACTGGAAAGATATGCCGCAGGGGTTGCTGCCAGCTCTGGTCCCCAACCTCATCCTAGAGTCCCTGGGGATCATCTGGGCCAGGCCACCCTCCTTCCTTGGAGATTCTGGGAGCTGTCCTGGGGTGGACCCTGTGCTTCAGGGCACCCAACCTAGAAAGGGGGAGAAGGGGACAGATAGCTAGACTAGGTGCAAGAGAGGGTTAGAAGCTGATGAGTGGGAGATGGGGCCCCTCTCAACCTCTGTGGAGAGGGGCCCATGTTACCCTATGCACAGTGCCCCTGAGGAGGCCGTGGGAAAGGGAGAGGAGAGGGGCTCCCTGCGACCACGCCTCTGGTCCCCTGGGCTCTCTGGCCTGGATATATTCTTTGCTTTGGCTCTGTGGTGAGGACAGTAGCATGTCTGGGGCCCCAGGAGGCTGAGTCCCCACTCTAAGTGGTGTTTGTAGCCCCTGTGGGTGGCTGGGGGAGGAGTAGCACTGTCCCAGGGATCCCTGCTCTGCGCCTCAGAACCAGGATCTCTCACACTGCTGAGAGACACTGCTGGAGTTCAGCAGCAAGCAGGGTGCACACGAGGGGGGGAATGGGGGAGAGAGAGAGAGAGAGAGAGAGAGAGTGAGAGTGTATGTGTGATGGGCCGGTCAAAGAGGACAAGTGGAGATGGACCTCCAGGTTCAGAGACCACGTGAGACAGCCCCAGTTACTGAACTCCTGCTTTATCATCCTGCTTCAGCCCACCACATACCCCACAGGCCAGTGTGGCATCGGGCTGTCCCTGGGCAAGAGGCTGACCTGTGCCTCAGTCTCCCCATCTGGATAGAGGAGTATCACTAAATCTGGCTCCCAGGGGTGCTGGGAAGATGACATATTGTGACATCTCCTGAGGGCTGGGGCCGGGCTGGGGCAGGAATGTAGGCGGTGGTCATCCGGGCTCAGCTGTCTTCCCAGCCTTTATTGTCTTGCTGGAAACCTGCGGTGGTGTCCCAGCAGCTTTGAGCTCCAGCGCTGACACTGGTGGTAAGGGGGTGATGAGCCCCAGCTCAAGGCTTGTGGTGGGGACATGATGAGTCAGTGGCTGTGAGTGGGCTTGTGGCCGCACCAGGCTGGCTGGCGCACGTGTGGGGGAAGGGCGGCAGAGTGCTGGAGGCTCAGAACCCCCTCCTTAATTTACTGTCACCTCAGGCTGGCCTCTCTGGAGTGACTTTGGGCAGCTTCCCCTTTGAGAATGAGGCTGCAGCCTCCGTAGCTGCGAGGAGCCCCCCACCCCAACCCCTCTGGCATCTGCGCTCTCCACTCATCCTCTGGGTGCGCAGCCCCTGCAGCCCTCCAGCAGGGGCAGTGGGGACAGACTCCGCCATACTCTCTGCCTATTTAGCTCCTCTTTGCCTGGCCTGTGGTTTGACCCTGGCCTTCCTGTGATCTTCCACCTTTGCCCTCCTGCCCCCCTCTTCCCCGGGGCTGTGTCCCAGGTTGTTCCTAGGCACAAAATGATCCTGTTGGCTGGGCCTGTCCTAGGCGATCCCTTACCAAGGACACACTCTGCCCAGTCTCAGGACAAGGCTGGCATGATTAAGCATGAAAGGGGTGTGGGAGGAGGCTTGTAAGAAGTGGGCCCTTTTTAGGCTTTGCATTCTTCAGGGTCCAATCTTGTGCCATCTCTTGGGGAATTCAGACAGTCAAGTGGCCCTGCTCCGGAAAACTCATCCTTTATGAGGGGGGCAGTCCCCAAGGCAGAAAGCTGGTGGAATTAGCCCTAGTGCCAGTATCTGGGGGTGGGGTTGGGACAGGTAGGACACCAGGAGAGGAGGCCTTGAGAGGAATCTGGGCTGAAAGGGGTGTCTGCAGGGTCAGGGCTCTGGCCTGGGCTCTGGGTGTGCACCCTGCTGGACATTAGATCTGCCTGCTGTTAGCCACGTGCCTTAGGCAGAGTGCTTCACTTCCAGGCCTGTTTCCTTGTTTCCACTTCATGGAGTCTAGTGTGGGGTACAGCACAGCAAGCGCTCCCAGGACAGTTTTGGATTGAGGAAGGGGGTAGTGGGGTGCAGCCACTGAAGTGACCCAGCCCTGCCTTTTTTATAGTACTGGAAACTTCTGATGTCATTCGTTCATTCATTCATTCATTCATTCATTCATTCATTCATTCATTCATCTGCATTTATTGAGCACCCACTGTGTACCAGACTCTGCAGTCTGAGGAGGGAATGCACTGCCCCGTCATCCTTACTGCTGCCACTCTTGAGGAGGATGGAGGGCAGGATGTTCTTGCCTGCCACTGGTGAAATCAGGGAGGCTAGCCTGGTAAAAGGAGAGAAGTAGCATTCAAAATGGCCCAAGGACAACAGGATCTAGAGGGCTGGTGGGGCAGCAGTGGACCAGGGAAGTGCATTTAGAAGTTTAGTCCAGAGTTGTCAGCTCTGCAGGTAGGAAGATTGGTGCATGTGAGAGAAAGCTTGTGCACATGCGCATGTGCGCCTGCTCCGTGAGGGCCAAGCTGGCATTTGGGTTGTGGTTGCGGAAAGGCTGTTCCTGGTTTCTGTGCAGGAAAGCAGCCAGCTGCAGGGAGCTTCAGGACATAAAGCCAAAGGCCTTAAGCTGTGATCTCTGCAGCTGGAAACGCCAGGCTGTGGTCCTGGCTGGCAGGACGCTGTCACTCCAGGAGGGTGGAGAGGATGAAGAGGGTGGGCTGTCCTCGGGGCTACGCTGCCCAAGGGGCTTCCTGGAGGGCTGGGCTGTGTGTAGGGAGAAGGCACTGGGACAACAGACCAAGAGGTGTGGGGCGGGGGGGATGGAGGGCTGCACTCAGGGGTCTTGGCCCCTGGCCTTTGGGTGGTGAGGCTGGAGCAGGGTGGGAGGCAGGGAGAGGGAGCTCGCTGGGGAGAAGCCAGTGCTTGGCATAAGGGAACTGGGAGGACCTTAGGCCCCCAAATCAGTGGGGATGAGGGATACAGGGGACAAGGGACACTCCTCAGTGCCCCACCCCACCTGCTCCAGTCCCACCTTGTCCTTTGGATACAGTCTCCTGTCTCCTCAGCCCCCTGCCATCTCCCTGCTGATGCCTCTGCCTGTTCCAACCCAGGCTCCTGCATGTCCCTTTATCTCCCCAGAGACCTTGTGCTCATTTTTCTCATTCTTTGTGGACTGGGACCCTGCAGGGTATGCCTAGTGACAGTCCCATCTCTGTCTCTGTGGCCACAAGTCACGTCCTGAGCTTTCCCTATGTGGAGTTCTCATCACGTGACTAGAATGTCCTGCCCCCTACCACGGGTTGGAGGATAGTGTGGTCACTGACGGTGGTGGTTGTAGGGCTCCGGCGCTGGGGTTTTGGTAGCAGACTCTCCAGAGTGCAGAACCGGGAGCTAGGGCTTGAGGACTCTTGCCTAGGGTGAGGCTCACGAAAGTGCCGGCTTGGGCCAGGAGTGGCAGTGCAGGTATGTAATTTCAGCCCTTGGGAGGACTGAGACAGGAAGGTTACAAATTCAACTTGAACCTGGGCAACTCAGTGATGTAGAAAGACCCTGTCTGCAAAAAATTTTTGCTTTTTAGTGAGCTGATGATATAGTTCAGGTTGAAGGTTCAATCCCAGTACAAGAAGAAAAAAAAAAAAAAAAAAAAAAAAAAAACCAAAAAACCCCCTAGTGGCTGGCTAGTTTCCTGGATATGCAGGAAACTCACCCCTGAGCATTTTTCCAGGGTGTCCTATTCTTTCCTTCCCTGGGGAGGATCTGAGGGCTCCTTAGCCACCCGCAGGAGCTTTTAGGCAGGCAGGGGAATGGGAGTGTAAATAGGTCTCCCTCTGTACCTCAGTTTCCCCATCTGCAAAGTGGGCAGGACCGAAGTGCTAGCTCCTAATGCCTTGCGGGGATTGAATGAATCTGCGCTGTTGAGACAGTGTCTGTGAGGAGCCAGGCACTATGGTCACGACAGTCATAATCTCCTTTTTCCAGAGCAAAATAGCTCCACATCTCTCTTTGCCTGATGAACCTTCAGCTCTTTTCAAGCTGAATTTAGGTGCCACATTACACACACCCCGTGTGGGGAGAAGAGGGTGCCCGTGGTCCCGGGAAGCATTCAGGCTGGGGCATAGTGGGGCCTCCACCCTTCCTGTCTCCTGGCAGGGCACTTGGCCCTTGGCAGGGAGGGGACCCCATCACAGGCAGCATCCTGGAGGTACAGGGCGGATGGGGCAGGGATCTAGGGAGCTGCCAGCCCCATCCTCCAAGCCCGCGTGCACAGTACACACTTTCCTCCCAGGCAGCTGTGCTCGGGAAGGACAGAGGCCTTCAGATACACCCGCACCTGCTGCCTGAAGCCAGCGCAGGGCCCTCTTTGGCCCCAAGGGCTCCCTGCAGACCGCCAGTGGCTTCTCTTGCTCCCAGCACATCTTGCTGCTCTCGTACAGATTCATCAGCAACCTCAACACAGGGTGAAGGGCAGTGGCAGGGGACAGGCAGGGCTTAGCCAGGGCATGAGGGAGGCTCTGGAACTCCCACTGCCTGGCTTGCGCCCTCATAGCTCCGTGTTTGTTTATTTAGTAGTCTGTTTTTCATCTGTGTGCACCTTAGGAATTAGGCACCCTCGATCTCTGTCTTCGTGGGGTTTGCATGACTCCTCTGTGTGTATGTGTGTGTGTGTGCGAGTGTGTGTATGTGAGTGTGTGTGTGTATGTGAGTGTGTAAAGCAAGAACATGAATAAGTGCAGCAAAGGTCTCCCCCATGTGTTGCTTCAATTCTATGGTTTTGGTTCCCGAGGTTTAACCATAGTCAGACAATAGTCAATGGAAAATTCCAGAAACACACAATTTGTCCAGTTTAAATTATGTGCCATTCTGAGCAGAGCCACCAACCTCATCCTGTCCTGTCTGGTCCTGTGGGTCATGGGTCGCTGATCCCCAGCCCAGCACATCCAGGTGTGCACACTGCCCATCCTGTAGCCTCTCAGCGGCCGTCCTAGCTATCAAAGTGACTGGTATCACAGCACTTGTGCCAGGTGACCTGTATGTGGAGGCTGGTGCTGGGTTCCAATGTTCCCACTTCCTTGTGTCTCATGAAGCACCAGAGCAGAGACTTGAAGGACAGGCATGAGCAAGTGTGGGCAGTGGCGGCCGCAGGTGCCATGGGCTGGGCCATGTGGGCCTGGTGCTGGGCAGAGCTGTGGGGAGGGGCCCAGTGGGCCGGGGGACAGGTGCTCACTTTGCTCTCCCTCCAGGCCTTCCCCCGCCAGCTCGGCTCTGTGCATGTGATGGCGGCCCCAGCTTTGTCCTGGTGCCTGCCCCTCCTGGTCCTTTTGTCCTTGACAGCTCCTTTGGTGTCTGCAGCGGTGAAAGGTGAGGACTCTGGCATCTGGGCAGCTGTGATTTCCCTGGCAGAGGGGCCAGGGCCTGCTGGAGCCCCTCCTAGACTCTTGCTTCTGGGCAGAAGTTCTGGGAATGGCAGCAGCAGGAGGTGGGGGGACCAGGGGCAGGGTAGTGGCTGTACATGGAGGCCACAGGCACCAAGCAAGCGGCCACTCATGCCTGCCCTGCCCACAGGCATTTCTCAGCTCGGATGCTTCTATGACTCTAAAGCCAACATCTCCTGCCTGTGGAGCCGGGAGGAGGGCCTGCAGAACACATCCTGCCACATCCGTGCCCAGTCAGACAAGCGGTGAGTGCAGCCTGAGGGAGCTGCCGGATCTGGGGACCCTGCCATCTCACGGCCGCCACATCACGGTCTCAGCCCCCAGGATGTCTGTGCTCATCAAGTTCAGGTTCCCAGGACTCACGGACTCTCCGAGGCACTAACAGAAAGAATGGTTCAGTCAGCTACTTAGGCTCCTGGACCAGGGTGGCTTGCAGGCTGTTGTCCAGGGGCTAGAAAGATAGTCTGGGGACAAGGGGCTGTGGAGCCTGCTAGGCCACCACCAGAGTCCTGGTCAGAGGTGGGTGAAGGGGGTCGTGGTAGGCAGCGGGGGTTCCCCACCAGTTTTGAGTACTGTGGGATATTGAGAGCACCCTAGATAGCTGTGGGGACAGGGCTGGATTGTAGGGAAGTGGTAGAGGAAGATCTCGCCTTTTGTTCTAAGCAGGCTCTTTTGCTTTGACAGGTCCTGGAACCAGACCTGCCCCATGTTCACAGTGAGCCCGACCACCTCGGCTTGCAACCTCGTCCTCGGACACCCGGATGTGAGTCTGCTGGCTGGGGAGAAGGGGGCAAAGGTGACCCTTCTGCTCCAAGCTGTGGTCTCAGGGTGGGGATCCCAGGAGAGGAGACCTGGAAGAGGGACCTGGAAGAGGGTGTGAGGACACTGCTGTGGAGCCCCTGCCCTGCTCTACCTCCTGGACACTGGTGGGCAGAGGGGCTGCCTGGGCCACGGTTTCCAGCCATTGTCAGGTTTTGCAGATTGTGTGTGTCTCCTAGGGTGGGGTGACCCTGTGGCAGGCACCAGCTGCTATGTCCTCCTCACCGTCCCAGGAGCCTGGCACGTGGCCTGGCTCTACCAGCTCCTAGCTGTGTAACCTTGGGCAGGTCCCTAAGCCTCTCTGTGCTTCAGTCTCACCTAATGGATGGGAGCAACAATAGTGCCTGTCTCAGGGGGAGGTCTGGAGGGAATGAAATGGGACAGTCTGAAGTGCTCAGGTGCGTTCCTGGCACAGAGTAAGTGCTCTTGGGAGCACATTCATGGCACCATCTCTGTGACCATGGCCATGTGATTATTATCTGGGGAAGCCCAGTTCCCACAACTGCTAAAGAAGGTGAGGGTGGGGCCCTGGGGCGCAGGGCTGACCCACTGAGAGGGCGATGGGGATCAGGGTCACCCAGATGGCCACCCAGGCTTGGATCCCAAACCACCACCCAAGGCACGGGTCCCAGCAGGCCTGCCCGGAGCTTCCGCCTGGGTGCACTGTGGGGCCTGCAGGGCTGGGAGGCTCTCGGCAGCGCCTGCAGGAAGACAGCCTTTCTCATAGCTGTGGTCAGTGTGCGGGTTGAGGGTCTCTGCACGGCCTGGGCTTGCTGCTGACCAGCTGAGCGGTTAGGACAAGTCTCTCAAGCAGCCCCAGCCTCAGGCGCCTCACCACACTGTGTGTGGGGGAAGGCCTGGTGCTACCTGTGAAGGACAAGGGGTGACCAAAGAATGTGGTAAATGTTTAAATTTAAAACCATACTGCAGCACGTGGCTCATTGGTTTGAGTCTCTCAGAATACACACCTTCCCTTCGAATCTACTTATCCCAGCGTTCTTGTCACTTTCTGAAGTAGTTCTGGAAGTCCTCTTTCCTGATGTCTTTTTGTGGCTCTTCCTATGTCCTGAATGGATTGAAGCATGTTGATGGCAATCCCTGTCACACAGAAACATTGTAGCGTGTCTTCATCTGCCTCAGCCACCAGATCTGGCAGTGGGTGACTTCTTGCTCTTCCTTAAAAATCAAAACGGTGATGGAGGGTCAAAATTTTAAATTGGTTCAGGACAACGAGGCAGTCCGGATGGTGCAGGTAAAGACTTCCAGAATTGCTTCAGAAAGTGACAACAAGCCTGGGATAAGTGTTCAAGGGGAGTATTTTTTTTTTTTTAAACATTTATTTATTTATGTGTGTGTGTGGCCAGCTCAGCCCACCAGGGGGCGGGGCTGGCTGGCATGTGGTGCTGGGGGATCGAACCGCAGTCGCTGTGCTTTGTTAAGCTTGTTCTAAGTAGGTGCTTTAGACCACTGAGCCATCTCACCAGCCCCAAGGGGAGTATTTTTGAGGAGGGTTGATGACAATGTTATTTTCTACTCTAACAATTTTCTCAATACACACCATATTTTTAAAATCACAGGTGTCTGAGCAGCAGCTCCCCCGGAGTACTCAGTACCTGGCCATTTCCCTCCAGGAACAATGGGGGAGGGGAGAGAAACATTTGCATTTGTTGCCACCAGAAAAGTTCAGCCTCCCCCTTGTTTGGAGGCTTGCTTGAGGGCTTGCTGCATGCACATCTCTTGTGATGCGGAGTGAGCTTCCTTCCCATGTTAAATCAGGGGTGGATAGTCTGTGAGCCAAACCGGCCAACTGCCTCTGTTTGTAAATAAAGTTTTATTGGAATGCAGCCCTGCCATTCATCCACATGCCATGGGAGGCTGCTTCACATTACCACAGCTGAGTGGAGTGGCAGTGACAAACATTGGGTGGCTTAACAGCTCAAAAGGTCGGCTGCTCCCTGCTCCTACCCTGCTTGTGTTCCCCGATCTTGTGCCTCCGTTCTGAGCCTGGCTGCTGGCAGCTCCATGTGACCCTCTCTCCTCTTGCAGTCCCAGGAGCTGACCGCAGTGGATACCATTACTGCCCGTGTGGTGTGCTGGCAAGGCGGCCAGTGGCGGCTGGTGCTGACCAAGAGCTTCAAGCCCTTTGAGTACCGTGAGTGGCACCTCCTGCCCTGCTCTGAACCAAGGCCCCATCTGCCCTCCGCGTCTCTGCACACACTGGGCCCACTCCTGGAAGGCCCTTCCACTTGGAGATTCCTGCTGTCCTTTGAGGCACAGAGAAGAGACCCCTCCTCTAGAGACCTTCCCAGATTCCCCCAGCTTTCCGCACCTCCTTCTGCAGAGTTGATGTCTGGTTCTCACTGACTCACTGTAGGTCCATCTCCTTCCTGGGCCCTGAGCTCCGTAGGTGTAGAGGCTCTGCCCTCCCTGAGCCTCCTTTCTGAGCATCTAGCACAGCCTGCTCAGGGTGGCCCGCCCTCTGCAGACAGTTGTTGAATGACTGTCTTCTCCTTTCCCCTTGACTTTAGAAGGTGAAATCCCTGCCCTGATCTCGCGTGCTCTGACTCTGAGACTCAGCTTCCTCATTTGTAAAATGGAGATAACCAGTTCCCTGGGTTCATTAAGGAGTTTGAGCCAAGACAGAGAAACATGTAGACTTTCACTTACCTTATATGAAAGCATCTTCCCATTATAGAGATTCAGCACAGTCCCTGCCCTCAGTGAGCTCCCAGGAGGGTGGGTTCAGCGGAGCCCGAATTAGGGATAGAAAGGAAACTAAAGCAGGCAAGTGGGGTGCAGAGGCCGGGCAGGCTTCTCTGAACGGTGCCACTGATAGAGATGTGGAGAAAGGGGGCAGAGTCCTAAGGATCTGAGGACAGGGGGACAGTAGGTGGCAAGGGACCACTCAGCTCTCTGCTCCCTTGTCTCTCTTGTCTGCAGTTCGCCTGGTGGCCCCCACCTCCCTCCAAGTCACCTATGTGGACACCAGCAGATGCAATGTCACCTGGCACCTCGTCCAAATCTCCCACTACATTGACGCCCACTTGGAGCTTGAGGTTCGGAAACGGTTGCAGGGCCACAGCTGGGAGGTGAGCTACCCCATCCCTACTGGGTCCCCCTGTCCTGTGGGCGTCCATGTCCACACCATCCTCCATCTCAGCAAGTTCCCATGCACCAGCACTGAGCAGGCAGTGGAGCCACCGTGCCACCCTGGCTGCTCCTTCTGTCCTGCCAAGTGCTGCCCTTAAAGCCTGGGGACACAATGGGGGGCCGATTTCAGGCTGACCCCAGGGCCAGACTCCCACAGACAAGTGGCAGCAGGGGCCCTTTTGGCTCTCTGAGCAGCACCACGGCAGTAGGCAAGAACAAGCACCTTATGAAAGGCGGTAAAAAGGGAGCCAAGAAGAAAGTGGTTGATCCATTTTCTAAAAAAGACTGGTATGATGTGAAGGCGCTGGCTATGTACATAAGAAATATTGGAAAAACACTCGTCACCAGAACCCAAGGAACCAAAATTGCATCTGATGGGCTCAAAGGTCGTGTGTTTGAAGTGAGCCTTGCTGACCTGCAGAAGGATGAAGGTGCCTTTAGAAAGTTCAAGCTAATTACTGAAGATGTTCAGGGAAAAACTGCCTGACTCGCTTCCATGGCATGGACCTCACCCGGGACAAAATGTGTTCCATGGTCAAAAAATGGCAGACCATGATGGAAGCTCATGTTGATGTCAAGACTACCGACGGTTATTTGCTTCGACTGTTCTTTGTTGGCTTTACTAAAAAATGCAACAATCAGATATGGAAGACCTCTTACACTCAGCACCAACAGGTCCGCCAGATCCGGAAGAAGATGATGGAAATCATGGCCCGGGAGGTGCAGACAAATGACTTGAAGGAAGTGGTCAATAAACTGATTCCAGGGAGTATTGGGAAAGACATAGAAAAGGCTTGCCAATCTATCTACCCTCTTCATGATGTCTTTGTCAGAAAAGTAAAAATGCTGAAGAAGCCCACTTTTTTTTTTTTTTTTTTTTTTTTTTTTTTTTTGCGGAACTGGGGATTGAACGCACAGCCTTGCATTTTTTAGGGAAGTGCTTATTCCACTGAGCCATCTCCCCGGCCCCAGAAGCCCAAGTTTGAATTGGGAAAACTCACGGAGCTTCATGGTGAAGGTAGCAGCTCTGGAAAGGCTACTGGAGATGAGACTGGAGCGAAAGTTGAACGAGCTGATGGATATGAGCCACCAGTGCAAGAGTCCACTTTAGATCCAGATTTTTAATAGTGATAAAGTCCTATTTGTGAAAAAAAAAAAAAAAAAAAAAAAGAGGCAGCAGGGGCTTCCCTGTGAGACTTCAGTGGCCCCACGAAGCCCCTTGTCCACACTTCCAACCCAGCACCCTGCGTCTGTGGGGGAGACGGCCCCTCTGGTCACACAGTTACTCCTGTATTCATGGGTCGCCCATATGCACTTACTGAGCATCTACTGTGTGTTGGGCAGGAGGAGGAAGTGGAAAGTGAGGGGGGGGGGCTCATACGGCACAGGGAGGGACCTGTCATGCAGGAGAGAGGGCTCAACAGAATAAGGGAGTTGTGTGGCTGGGGCAGCAGCTTGGCTGTGGGTAGGGATGGGTAAGGGAGCCATCAGGTGTGGTACAGGCATCCTCTTTGTGGTGTCCACTTGGGAGGAGACCCCAGCAGGGGCAGACATGAGGTGGGACAGCTGGTCCACCTGCAGAGGGGTTCGCTCAGGTGTGGGACTAGTGGGGCAGGACTGGGCTTGGCCTGGAGCCAGTCTGGTCTGGCAGTGGGGGGCACAGGGCAGGAGTGTGTGAGGGGAAGGCTACGTGGGTGATGGTGGGCAGAAAGGCCTCTCGGTGTGACCGTTATGCCCCTGTCCCTGCCCCGGCAGGCTACCCCGTTGAATCTCAAGCAAAGGCAGCAATGGATCTTCCTGGAGAACCTGGTGCCTGACACTCAGTACGAGCTGCAGGTGCGGACATGGGCCGGGAGAGGCTCACACAGCGCATGGAGCCCCTGGAGCCAGGCCCTGGCCTTCACAACCAGGCCTGAAGGTATAGCTGCACAGGGAGGGGAGCAGCCAGGGGTGCAGAATTCTGTTCCCTCCAGCCCCACCCACTGCCACCATGCCTTCCTCCCCCCCCCACATCCCAGAGGGCTGGTATTAGAGGCGTGTGCCACCCCTGTGCCCCACTACAGGGCGCCCTATCCCTTAAGCATTATGTCTGGCCTCCTGGAGAGGATGGGCTTCAGCAGGGCGAGCGGTGGGCAGGTGGCAGGCCATGGCACCAGGTGCAGGGGGAGCCAGTCGATGGGCGCCTCTCAGACCCTCCCCTTGCTTCTTCCCTCCCCTGGCAGCCACCAGGAAGGAGTCCCTGCCTCTCATTTGGGTCCTAGGCCCTGCCCTGGGCCTTGGGCTGGTCAGCGGCATCATCATCTCTGTGTATTTCTTGGTCAGCGCCAATTGCCTCGGGCCTTGGTAAGAGATTCCCCCCACCCCCACCACACAGCCCACCAGCCCTGTTCCCAGGCAGGGAGGAGTCCCCTCATCCGCTGCCCACAGAAGCCCACTGCCCTCCCCCTCTCCTCCTCACTGCCCTTCACTTCACGCCCACCAGGGTATGTGGACCCTCCAGCACCTCCACTAGCTATCTGATACACTGTGTGTGTTAGGGAAAGGTGGGCTTCTCTCCAGGAAGAGGCCACTTGGCCCTGGGCCTTCAGCTTGGCAAAACAGAACCTGGCTCCAGCCCCTGCTCGTTCCCCTCAGAGGCTCTGGGGCAGTGCACAACCTGAACTTCCATCCGTGGCAGCCTGCACTGGGAGCTTCCTCTCCTACCTTCCTCTCACGGCTCACTCTGCCCCAGCTGTCTCCAGCCCTCACCACTCTGGCGTGTGTGGTCTCCCTTCCCCTACTCCTACAGCCTCTTTTGAGTAGTCTCAGTATCCTGAGGAGCTGGAATTGTGGTTGGCTCTGTGCCCAGCCCTCAGAGCACGGGGCTGACGGATCCTGTCTCCTCTGGGCCTCACACCCCGCCCCCACCGTCCTACACAGGCTGAAGAAAGTCCTGAGGTGCCGCGTTCCAGACCCGTCGGAGTTCTTCTCCCAGCTGAAATCGGAGCACGGTGGGGACTTCCAGGTCGGAGCCCGAAGCTGGTGGGCCAGGGTGGGGTGGCTCAGGGCAGGGCGGGGCAGCAGGCTCAGCAGCAGCGGCTTTTGCTGAATGGGCCACTTTGCCAGTCTGCTGCCCTTTCCTGCCTGTGCGACCTAAGGAAGTCACAGAACCGCTGTGCGCTGGCCTTTCCTTTCCTGTAAAATGCAGAGAAAATAGTGTTGCTGTGTGCTGCTCAGGGAGCTCTCACTGGCAGGGACCCAGGGGATTACTAACTGCGGGCTGTTGGTCACCTTGAATCCCCAGCGTGGACTTGGCTCGTGAGTGCAGGCTGCCCAGCAGTGGCCTGGGAGCCGCTGCCCTGCTTAGTGCTAGAAGCTTCAAGAGGCAGGGCCGAGTCTTCCCCGGGTCCTCTTGATTCGGGAGAAGGGAGAACATCTCCTTCCACCTCTTCCTTTGGCTGTCAGGGAGTGAGATCCCCAGCTGTGGTGGTAACCACGCAAGCCTTGGCAGTGGGGCTTCCTCCATGCCAGGTGAGGCTGGACTGGCTGCATCCCCAGCTTTCTTCCGGCTCGCGGCCCTGGCTACCGACCTGAGACATGGTGCTGGGGGAGCAGTGGGGTCCCTCCTGGGTTGTAGAGATCACACCAGACCTGGCTCCAGCTTTCTGCCCCAGGCCCTGAATGGGGTAGTGGCTTTTAGGATACCTAGGTGCTTGCTGGGAGGGACCAGCCCTGAGTGGGTGAATGGGAACCTCGGTCTTGTCCCTATCCTCTCCAGAGCTATGGGGCTGACTCTGGCCCAAGGACCTGTGAATGTGCACATGCATGTGTGTGCATGGGTGTGAGCATGTGCACAAGTGTTCATGTGTGAAGTCTGGAGAGGGCACCAGGTGGGTCCTGCGGCCGCTGTACTCACAGCTCTGGAATCGCCAGGCCCCTGTGCCCAGGCGGCTGCAGCCCTACTGCTGAGGGTCCCTGGACAGCAGACACTGGCCTCACCAGCACCTGGCCTGGGTCTCTGCCAGTCCCCAAGGGCCTCCTGACCCCACATGTCTTTGTAGCTGCCTCCTCCCTGGGCCAGGGGGGTCTCCCTGCTGACTGAACAGATAACAGTGAGGGAGTCAAGAAGGAAGTGGCCAACACTTGTGAAAACTGAGGCTCAGGGCCAATGACCTTCCCAGAGCCACATGGCTGGAGGGTGCTACAGCTGGGCCGGAACTTGGGAGGCCTTATTCCTCACTAGGGTTGGGTGGATTCCCAGGTACCACAATGTGTCCCATGGGTTGCAGTGTGCCCCTCTGTGGCAAGGGTAAGGGACTGCCCAGCATAGCCTTTATAGGGTTCTGACGAGCATGCACAACCTGGGTCCCAGCCTCCCAGCCCGGCTGGCCATCACAGGCCCATGCCTGACCCTTTTCTTAGCATCTGTACGGTGAGCTGGGTGGGCGTGCAGGCTCCTGCTTTGGTCCTGCTTGGTTGACCTAGGGAGACACTTGCCCTGGGCCCTTGGGGCACCCTGGGGATGCCATCCTCTGCCCTGGCCTCACACCTGGGACAGTGCTGGGTATACAGAGGGTGCTCAGGGACAGTCATCATGCGCCCCACCTGGGTGCTTGTGAGCCTGCTCCGGGCTCTGCAACTGTCCGCTCTGTGACAAAGGGAATGGGGAAGAGGCAGGGCCTTCCTGGCAAGGACACTGGCGGGGGCGGGAAGGGCCACCGCTCACTGCTGCCACCCTTTCTCCTGCAGAAGTGGCTGTCCTCGCCCTTCCCCTCATCCTCCTTCAACCCAGGGCCCCTGGCGCCTGAGATCTCACCGCTGGAAGTGCTGGACAAGGACACAAAGGCCTCGCAGCTGCTCCTGCTGCAGCAGGACAAGGTGCCCCTACCCTCGCCTGTGCCCAGCGGCCACTCACAGACCAGCTGCTTCACCAACCAGGGCTACTTCTTCTTCCACCTCCCTGATGCCCTGGAGATCGAGGCCTGCCAGGTGTACTTCACCTATGACCCTTGTGCTGAAGTGGAGCCTGAGGAGGGTGCGCCCTCAGGGTCCCCTCTCGCACCCCTGATGCCCTTGTCACAGGGAGACGATGCCTACTGCACCTTCCCCCCTGGGGATGACCTACTGCTCTTCTCCAGCCTCCATGGTAGCCCAAGTGTCCCCTGTGTTCTCCCTGGGGCCGCTGGAACCAGTGAAGAGATGCTGTACCCCTCCCTACAGGATGGGGCTCCCCAGGTTTGGGGTGCCCCAGCCCTGACATCCCCTATCCCAGTACCCCTGAGCCCAGTGGGTTTCCAGTTACCCCTGGAGCAGGCACTGGGGGTGACTGGGGAAGAGGTCCCTGCCCCAGGGCCTGAGGATGGGGCTGATTCCCCTTGGCAGGGCCTGGGCAGGACCCCTGCTTCCCCCTACACTGACACTGATCCCTACCTGTCCCTCCAAGAACTCCAGGCTCAGGACCCAGCTCAGATGATGTAGACAGACAGCTAAGGGTGGGAGGCAGGAGGCTGCCTGAGGTGTATCAGGCCTGAGGGCCCCCTCAAGGACCACCCAGTGCGGAGGACAGCTGCACCGAGAGGCCCCCCACCCACTTCCAAACCTCAAGGCTGCTCTGTGGCACCTCATGCACCTCAGGGCCTGGGGTGGGAGAGGGAGGCCGGGTGCCCTCTGTCTCTTATTACTGAGTCCCTGGAGCTGCCTCCCCAGCCCAGTCACCTAGGATACCAAGCACCACCTCTGCCTCCCCTCAGGGCTTCCTCTTCAGGGCACCAGGGTGCACTTTCCACAGGTAAATACAGCCCGTAAATGTGGCCATGCCCTTGCCTGCTCCATGCCCAGCCTGGTTCGAAGGCCTTCAGCACATCCTTAGCCTGCCACTTGCCAGTCCATGTTGGGATGGTCCCTTCTGAGACCCTCACAAGTAGCCTCAGCAGGCCCCTCAAAGCGGCCTTGTACCCCGCACCCTTGCATTTGCTGTTGCCTGTACTGGGGCAACCCCACCTCCTCTGGGTGAGAGTCAGCCCTGGTCCTTCACATGGCCAGGTCTGCTTCCCCCAAGGCATCACTGCCAAATTCAGTGCTGGAAGGGGACCCCTCACAGCCCACAGGGCGGTGGAGAAGGGTCTCTCTTGATATGGGAGTGTTTCACCCAGGAGCAGACAGAAATCTCTATGATGGGGACCTTCTGGAGCTTTCCATGGTGGCCTCACAGACTCACAAGGGAGTAAAACTGGGGTCCCTGGCAGCCTCTTCCTCCCAGCAAGGGGTCCCTATCTTAGCTCTCACCCAAGGGCTTTTGCTCTCATAGATCCTCCTACTGCCTGCACACAGGCTGACAAGAGGCTGGTCCCTTCACATTCAGTGCTCCATTCCTACACGGCAGACGCTTCCCACCACCCCTCTGACCCAATCCTTCTGTGCTTAGCTCTGTCTACAGTGATCACCATCCTGTGGAGACTCCCAGTCACATCTGACTGGTTTGGGAATAGCAGGGCTTGCATTTATAGGTCCCTCTTGCAGCTGATTTGGCCTCTGACCACAAGCTCATCCATAGGCTGACCAGAAGCCTACGAGAAAGCTTGGCACAGAAATGTGGTCCACTCAGGAAGACTAGGGATATACAGCCAATCAGATTATCTCTCGGGCTCAGGCATTTAACCCTGTGGAAATGAGAGGAGGTAGGGGTGACAGAGCTCCCAATGAGCGGAGAATGAGGTGGGGGGTGACACAGAAATTGCCACTGCCTGTACCTTACTGTCCTAATCCTTGTCTTTATGTTCAAAATAAACTTTTTCTTGAGGTTGGGTGAATGTTGGGTCTTTACTATGGAAAGAGCTGAATGACCAGGCAGCCTCATTTCCAGCTCCTGAGATCCTGGCTCCCAGGCTACAGGGCTCCTCAGGCCTGCCCGGTGGGTGCTGTCAGAGCTGGGGCCCCGTGCTCGCTGTGGGTCCTGGCCCACGTGGCCAGACCTCTCTGTGTTCAGTTTCCTTGTTTCCAAAATGGTGATAATATTTACCCTCATGCTTTGAAAAGGTTCTGAGAAGGTTGTATTGCTCAAATCTTGAGGACAGATGCATCTCGGTGTGCTATCATTGTTACTATTTTCTTAATTTTTTTAAAAAATTTACTCACTTTTTAAAGATATGTTTGGGGCTGAGGAGATGGCTTAGTAGAATAAGCACTTTCCTGGCAAGCACAAGGGTCTGAGTTCAATCCCTGATTCTGAAAAAAAAAAAAAAATTAAAGAAAAATATTTTTCAAAAAAGAGTGTTGGCAGGGCTAGGAACTAAACCTAGGACTTTTGCACTGAGCTACACCCCCAGCCATTTATTTATCTATTTATTTATTTATTTATTTATTTATATTTTATTTTATTTTTTAAAGAGAATACAAAATGGTAAAAGAAAAACAATAACCAAAAACAAACAAACAAACAAACAAACAACCCATTAGAAATGATGTAGAATTTCACTAAACGAAATAGTGGGAATTTGACAATGGGTGTTGTATTACCTATTATTTTCAGATTAGTTGTTTATATTGTCAGATATAAACATGCAAAATTGGAGAGAAAGAAAAACTTTAAGCATTAACTGCTCCTTTCAATAGACCAGCAGCAATCAGCAGCCGTTATCCAAGCTCTCCTGCATATATACGTAAGTGCATCTTTTGCCCTTTCTTTTATCCTTTTCCTCACCCCATTTGTTCCTTCCCATCGAACGGGTTCTTTCCCTTTCACTGTTTCCTTCAGATTCATTTTCTCTTTCAGATTCTCACACTAGCGAGACAATATACTAGCAAACAGAATGCAGCAAATAATCAAGAAGCTTAAACATTATGGCCAAGTGGGATTCCAGGAATGCAGGGATGGTTCAAAGGCAAAGACAAAAATCACATGATCATCTCAATAGATGCAGAAAAAGCTTTAGACAAAGTCCAATACTCATCCACGATAAAAACTCTGCAGAAAATTGGAATAGTTTTTTTTTTTTTTTTTTTTTTGCAGAACCAGGGATTGAACTCAGGCCCTTGCACTTGCCAGGCAAGCACTTATTCTACTGAGCCATCTCCCTGGCCCAGGAATAGATACTTTTAAGTCAGGATCTTGCTAGTTTGTCGAGGCTGGGCTCAAAATAGTGACCTTTCTGCCTCAGCCTCCTAGAGTGTTGGACACCCGTGTGTACCACCTTGTCAGGTTAAGAAAAATCTACAGTGTTTCTGTGAGTAGAAAAATGGATTTTCACTATAAATACAGGGCAACTGCAGAAGTACAGTGAAGCCAGACTTGTATATTCATTGCTCAAGAGAAATTTGTTCTCTTGGTCTAGAGAAGTGATTAGCGACTGTAGGGGGGTTACTGAAAACCAGGCGGATACTTTGTCCTTGACAGCAACTTTGTAAAGGGAATATCTTCCTCTACTAGGAGTCAGGTTGATCTTATTTGGTTTCTTGGAGCTAACATCTGTCATACACCTTAAAGATCTGTCCTTGGGACACATCGATGTCTACCTGTCTCTGTTTATCTGCCTATCATGTTTTCAGTGCCCTGAAAAAAATGATGACCCAGACCATGGATAACAACTCCTGCCATTCATAAATCCATAGCCATGCAGACATTGCTAGTTGATTGCACCCATGTATGACAGACGTATCTAATCGATCACAACCTGCCTTCCTGCAGAGCCTGGGTGTACTTCAGATTCTTCCTGGTGTACTTCAGATTCTGGAGAGCCTCCAGCTGATCACAGCTGGTACCCAGTGACATCTGCGGACCACACAATGTCTCAAGTTCCTCTTGCAAGAGGAGCTCTTAATTTCCCCAGTTCCAACTTTCCAGACGGGGAAAGGTGGGGCTGAGACTCTGGGGTGTGGAAAGCTGAGAGGGCTCTAGGAACAGGTGGGTCCGGGGAGCCCAGCTGTCCCCACCATGCCTGGCGAGAGGCCTGGGGAAGGGGGGGCACCTTATGCCAGGGGGAGGAGGTGTCTTGGGGAAGGGGAGGGGAGAGAGCAGCTGGCGGGGTGGGGTGCAGGCGCCAGCTGGGGGGCAGCTCAGCTCAGCTGGGCTGGAGAACCATCAGGTGTGAGAGAAGCAGGAGGCAGGCGGCAGATCTGGGGGACAAGAGGAAGGGGCTCTGGCTTCTCACATTTCTTCTCAGTGTAACTGGATTGGTCCTTTGCCTCCCAGCACTCCCACTTCTGATGCGCCCATCACCCGCCCTCCTCCCTGCTGATATCCCGTTCACTGAGGGGAAATGAGCCCACAAACCAAAGTGATCAAAAAGCACACTTAATGGGGGTTAGAGCTAGTCTTTGGTGAACTGAGCAGTTGGACCAGGTGAATTCCTGGTTCTCTCCTGGCCTCAAGTGTCTGCAGTTCCAGGCACTGCGTGGACTGTGGTGTGAGGCAAGAAAACTGGGCACTGGGGTTGGAGATGGGATCAGAGCAGGGACTACACCCGACTCATTTGCTTTAGCACCTGCTGATCCCTGGGTTTGAAGTAGTCCTGCACCCCAACAATTTACTTGTGGACTCCTACACATCCCTTAGAACACTACTCAAGAATCCCCACTTCTGAGAGGCCCATTGATTTACCTCAGGTAGGGTTGATCACTTTTCCTACTGTCCCTCTTCTGAGCTACATCTGTTGTTACAAAGATCTGTGGTGGGGCTGGGGAGATGGCGCAGTAGAATAAGAGCTTGTCTGGCAAGCTCAAGGGCCTGAAAAAGATCTGTGGTGCTTCAGGTCAGACGCTGGGCAGAGTCTAGGGATACAGAGGTAATGATGGCACTCTGGGAGGCTGAATCAGGAGGATCACAAGTTAGAGCCCAGCTTGGCCAACTGAGTGACTTAGTGAGAATCTGTTTAAAAATGGAAAAAGGCAGGGCTGGTCTGGGGATGTAGCTTAGTGGGAAGACCCTAGGATTCAATCCCCATATCTGAAAAAAAGGAGAAGGATGTGGAGGGGTGGGGGAGGAAGAGGAGGAGGAGGAAGAAGAGGAGGGGAAGGAGGAACAGGAGGGAGAGTGGGAGGAGGAAGGGAAGGAGGAGGAGGTGGAAGGGGAAAGAAGGGAAGGAAGGGGAGGAGAGGAAGGTGAGTAGGAGGGGAGGAAGGAGGGGGAGGAGGGGGAAGTGGAGGAGGGGAAGGGAAGGAGGGGGATGGGGACGCTGCATATATAGCACCTAGAGGCATTCAAATTGGACTCTGCTCTGAGCATTGTGTTACTAACTAGTTGCTCCACCTGGCCATGCTCAGAGAGAGCCTTCTCTTGCCCTGATTATAGCTTGACTGATGCAAAGTGGGGAGGTGACCTGCCCGAGGTGCACAGAGAGGACAGGTGGAGCAAGGACGTGAAGCCAGGATTAGCACTCAAAGGGGCATAGGTTTTTGCTCCTTTTAGAGCTCATCGACATCCGGCCTCTGACCATCTCAGAGTGACCTGGCGGGACAGTGATGGCAGCCTCAAAGTCCCATTTCTCAGCCAAGGACAGCTGAGGACAGGCTAGTGCCCTGGCCCAGGCAGTAATCTAGCACAAGGAGGGGAGACCTGGGGTTCAGCAGCAACAGCAGCAGCAGCAGCAGTGGTGGTGGCAGCCAGCCCTGCCTGCCTGTGACAGCCCCGGGGCAGCCCCTTTGGGGAGTCTCTTTCCTGCCCTGGGATGTGACGCATCTGTGCTCAAGGGAGGTGGCGAGCAGGGCAGGAAACCCGGGCAGGGCAACGTGAGGTGGCACAGGCTGCGGGGTGCTCCAGGGCTGCAGTTCCAGGAAGCCAGGATACGGGAGGGGAGTGGGGAGGCAGTGACTGCCAGGGCCTGTAGTGCAGGCGCTTTTAGGAGCCAGCTCCCACCTGAAGGAGGTGAGGATGCTGAGCCTGGAGCCAGCAGCTGTGGGAGAAGCAGACTGTGGGGACAGTTCCTAGAAGAGATAGGAGTAGTTCATTCCCTTATTCACTCACTCACTCACTCACTCACTCACTCACTCACTCAGAGTACAGGTGGTGAGTCCTGGTGGCCTGCAAGGAGGGTGCGGGGTGTTGGGGATCCGGCAGGGAAAGGAATACCCTCCTGCTTCCCCAGGTAGCCTGGCAGCCCCCTATGGTCAGTGTGGTGTCCATGAGCTGGAGCTGGGCAGCCTGGGTTCAGTCTGGCTCTGCTACATCCCAACTGTGACCTTGGCAATGGTCTGGGCTCCTCCTGCCTCAGCCTCCTCACCTGTGGTGGGGATGCCAGGATGTGTGGGGATGAGAGCCAGCTGCAGAGAGACAGACAGGGACAGGGCAGCGGCCATGGCCCACAGCCTGCAGGGCCTCAGCTGGAATTCTGGTGGATTGGAGCTGCTGTTTGGACCTCCTGCAGGCTGAGCTTCTGGGATCTTCTCCTTTCCAACCTCACACTCTGCACTCCGTCTGCCCCTCCCCCTGTACACAGGCATCAGGGGGTGCAACCTTGTCTCTGAAGATGGCATTCCAGGAGGGGTGACACATGCTAAGGGAAAGCTACGGGGTCTTCCTCCTACTCCTCAGGTCTACCCATGTTAGCTGCCACCAGCCTAGGGCAAGGGCATTGCCCTGCCCCCATCCTGTCCCACTTGGCCCCTTTGAGCCTCAGTCTCTTTATCTGAATATGGGATGAGAGGTTCCAGGAAGGTGGACCTGTGTTGCCTCTCAGCTCCGGTCAGTTTGTGACAGTCTGCTCTGTGACAGGGATGAGGAGGTCCCTCCTGGACCCAAGACATCCAACCACCAACTTTGCTCAACAAGGTCCTTTCTCAACTTCTGCCTTTTCAATTTTTA